CACTGGATTTATATGGAGAAAAGCCTCAATAAACTGCACTCCAGTCTCAAGGCAGATTGATACATTTGTGAACTATGTAAACAAGCATACATATGAAAACGTACTGTGACCCCTAAGGAAAACTGAATATGATGTATTAGATTTGGAATTGATTTGGATTTTTTTTTTTAATGTGTTTTTCGTAATGCTTGATAGTGAGTCAGTGAATCCACTGAAGCACAAGTTACATTGCTAAGAGACCACAGGATCCCAATTCTACTTTTCAGTCCTTGCTAGGGAATGGGGAGAGGGCCCTGCATTTTGATGAAATTCAGGGAAATTTAGTAATTAGGTTTTTGTGAGTGAGTTTCAAATAATCTAATCTGTTCAACTAGTAAAGCAGCAGCTGCCAGACCTTGTCAAGCCTATGTTATGATTAATGTGCTAAATGGTTTTCATAGATATGAAATATTTTCAAGGGAAAAGTAAAAGCCTTACAGATGATGATGATACTGGAATCACTTTTCTCCCTTTCACCTGCAGTCTGCCTTGCGAGTTTCATTTTATTATTTATTCCTATTTTCATAGATTAGAGGCTACTGTTGGTTCCATGTAAAATTAGTGGGAGCTGGAACTAAAAGTCCAGATATGGAGATGGAAGAAAGCACAAAAAAATGAAGGATGACAGGGATGCAAGCTACGGGACCTCATGATCACTTTGCTTTCTTCGGAAAATCCTGCTAACTCCTGTAGGAATGCTGGCTATCTTGCAGGGTGTATCACTGAGGGGCATGTTTAAACCAAGAAGATGGCTGGCTGCTTGGAGGACATGCATGCAGAGATGGGGGAACCAGGACAGGAGACAGTTGTGAGAAGTGTGCATGGTGAAGTCACTGAGATCACACAGGCATCACAGGCATAAGAAATATTGTGAGAAAGGGGCTGAGACAGGACATGGCAGGATGCTTGAGCAGAAATGTGATCGCAGCATGAAATGTGAAATGTATGTCTATTTGTAACTTGAGTCCATTATGGAAAACTGTGTTGTCTAAGAAGATGAGGACAGCATTATTTGATGCCAAGGGATTTGCTGCATATGGTGTTAAATAAACCATCTTCCTGTCGTACAATGAGTTCTCAGGTGCTTTTTTTGCCTGAGGTCACAAAGTGTAACTTGGAGAGTCTTACTGTGAACAGCTGATTCCGTTTCAACAGACCAGGTTTCGTCCTCACTCTGTTTCAGCTGTTTAAGATTTAAATTATTGTCTAGTTTGTGAATCTCATTATGTGCCCTCTGTTTCTTGGAGACATGCTTACTGTGGAAAGTAAAACTGCCAGGCAAGCTTTTTCCAAGGGAGCTGCCACAGCCTCTAGGAACCATTTGTCATTTTCCACAGTGGCTCTGTCACAAGAAAACTTCTCTCCCGGCTGCTCTACAAGTAACATGGACAGCCATGAAGATGAAAGGGACCATTATGCTACTGGAAATTAATAGGATGCCACAGAACCAAGGGTTCTGAATTTCAAGTCTCACAGCTGGCTCCCAAGCTTACCCTGATATCAAGCAAAGGGAAGCTGTCTTAGGGAACTCATGGTTTTCTATGTGTCTCACTGAGGCTGTTCCAGTGTTACTGTCCTTCTGCATTGAGTTCACACCACCAAGTTTGAAAGCTTGAGCGTTAATGAACTCTCAGCTGTTTCTCACTGCATTAGATTTGAACGTGTAGGTTTTGTGGAAGGATCTGCTGTATACTCAGTTTGACAGAGCCAGTGAACTGCAGGCAACAGGACAACAGTTTGAGAAAACAGTGAGCTGTTCTGGATGTGTCTGAAGGAAAGAAAGAAATCTCTCTCTTTGTGTCCTTATATTTCAGTTCACTTCAGCCTCTTTCAAATTCTAGTATTTGAAATCGATCCTTAGGTAAACCTTACCTGCAGATAAATGGCATCTTTGGAAACAAGGTGTGCTAAAGCAGTCAGAGGTCAAGAAATCAGAGCAAAGGGAGGAGGCTGTGGGAGAATTTTTGGGTGAGCTCTCCAGTTTTTCCTTCACACATACAGAACCTACAGTGATGATGAATCATGATGAGAAGAATCTTCATGTCATTAATGATAATCACAGGATATGCATATGAAAATATACACAACCACCACAAATTTGAAGCATTTTTTGGTCTCATTTTCAATTTTATTTTGAGATATATAATTTTCTTTTATAAAAGCAATTTTTCCTCAGCCTAGCTCTGAAACATGCATTTTGGAAGGTTTTGTATGGATGCGTATCTCAGCTTGAACAGAACTCATTAATCTTCTGTGGTACTGAACTGAAGGGATTAATGAAAACATCTCTTCTGGATTTTCAGTTATTTTACTCCTTTGTTTTTATTTCTAATTTCCAGTTTGAATTAATAGTAATAAAACCTTTGAAACTCACTTCTCACCACTTAATTAATGATAATTTTCCATGAGCTGCATTGCTCCATGAATTAAGCTTTAAATCACCACTGTGCTCAATGGGAAACTTGCGATCTGCAGGGAAGCTCTCCAAGCCACAGCTACTGGAGACATTACGTGACAGCTTCTCTACCTTCCTTAAAAGTAAAATAAGATAAAAATTAAGCTCTGAACTTCTCAGGTTATAGCAATAAGCTTGAAAAATGGACTCAGCCACATTCTAATTCTCACAGATAAGAAGGGAGATAAAAAGAGACTAGCATTTATTCAGAAGTCTCATTGTTTTTTTTTTACAACTGATTTTGTGATTCCTGGATTTTTAACTTCTGATTGTTGAGTTCCTCCAACTGGCACCCTCAAGATTTATTCAGCTCTTTGGTCATGGTGCTCTTCCAATCCATGCTGAAAGAGGACAATAGGTAAAGCAAAAAGGGAGATCGTGAGATCTCAGTCTTATCTGCAAGGTATCCATTTATACTTTTTAATCCAGAAGCTTCAGGAAATTTGTATGCACAGTACAAGGGCAGAAAGTTCTGCCTATTTACGGGACAAGAGAGGAAAAAAATAGATAAAAAGGAAAAGAAGGACACCTCAGTTACAAATTAGTTCATCTCCACAGCAAATGCAGGAGTGATAATTTGATTTCATCAGCTGAGCAGCCTGCTCTTGGCCCTCACTGCAGTTGGTTCACCTTTTTCTTTTTCCCTTGAACTGAGTAAAAAATTCTATTACAAAGTGTGGTTATAAAACCTGGTATTCCAGGAAAGCTGGCTTGTTCACCTCATAATTGCACCTACACATTTTCAGAAGTGGCATACTTCAAGGCTAAATGCTGTTATGATTTCATAAAGGCTTGCATTATGGTGGCAGCTTTGTGTGCAAACATTTGCAGTTAATTGCAGGAAATCTGAGTATGGTGTCACTACTAAAGAATCAGGTGCAAGTGATTTACACTTTAAAGATTTCCCAATAAGCACTGATTCAAACATCCTACTCTTGATTTCACAATCACTTATGCAGGTGTAATTCAGCAGTAATTTTACTGAAGGCATGAATTCTGCAATGGCAAAAAGCAAAGTCCTTAAAGATGCCTTTGCTTTAGTAGAAGCCTTGATGGAGCTCTTTATGACTGGAAATTAGACATATCACTTTGTAGCTAATAGTAAAACCTCTCCCAGTGTGTTTTTATTTATTTGATATGTTATAGTTGGAAAGATTAACGCAATGGAAAGGCAAAAGGGACAAGCAGGAAAAGAATGCTCATCCACCTCTGAGGCTCTAGGCTCACAGGAAAAAACCTCAATTTCATTAGGAAAAACTCAATCTCTGTTACTAGAGATCTATCCCCAATGGCAGTCAGCCCTTAAATGAGGTCTAAGAGAGGTGCAGCCAGGCTCCATCCCCTTCCGGTCACACAGCTGAATTGCCTTCACCTGTGCTCCCAGGTCCTCAGTCCTTGCCTCAGGTGCTCAATCAGTGGTTCAGGCTGTGACTCAACAGTTCCCATACAATATTCCTTCAGACTGCTGTCGTTTAGAGGGTTCTGACAGAGCTCATGTTCATGATTGGGATTTTTGTATCAGGTAAGAGAATACCAATTTTCTCTGCAGAAGAAGGCCTGTTGGGGAAAATACAAAGGGTCCTTTTAGTGTTCTTATTAATTCAAACAAAGATTTCACTTGATCAACTGAAGATAAAACAGAACTGAACAGGAAATGTAAAATGAAATGTGAAACGTTTTGCTAAAATAAAAGACACCTCTAAACTGTACGTCCTATCAGTTGACATGAATTCATGTTTTAGAGCTTTTATGTAAAGCTCCACAAGCTGCAAAGCTTTAACATCAGTATGCAAATGTGGATCTACTCTCTGTGGTGATAATGTCAAGGGAAGGGGAGGCAGATTCACATTGTCTCAAAGGAGATACTTCAGCTAATCAAACCTTTCAGAATTCCCAGACAGGAGCATCTCTATTTTCCAATCTTCCAAGGGCTATGAATGGATTACCAGCACTCAATTTCTGTGCAGTTTGCTGCTCTCTATTGCATTAGAATCTGCCTTTCATTTCTTTATGTGCATAACTGGTTCATGGAGCAACTTGGGAATTCTCTGTAGTGGGTTTGTTATCTCTGTGCAGAATATTGTTATCTGACTCTGTCACTTAACATTTGGAGAAAGCACCTGAGTATGAGGTTTCCTTCTTAAGGTCAGAAGGACAATTCTGGAGAATACATGCATGAACCACTTTTTTGTTACTTAGCTGGTAAATGATGTCATTTTGTTTACAAATTCAATAATTTAGTGAGCTTGACATTTATTTTGGGATGATTCTTGAGAGACATTTGCAGGTGCCTCAGAAAAAGGAGATATGTAGAGATGGGCTTAAAACAAACACATCGTAATTAAATTTGACACATGCTATTAATATTTAGGGACTCTGAGCTAGCTGTAAGCATCTCTGTTCGTTGCAGGTGAGTTAAACTAGATGACCTTTGAGGGTCCCTTCTGTAGAGGAATTGTTACGTCATACAGCCTGAACTGATGATTGAGCACCTGGTGAAGGGGAGTGGCTGGCCAGGGAGCACAGCTGCAAGCAATTCACCTGTGCTTCTCACATGACCACAGGTCCCTGGGCTCATTTAAAAGCCAGCCTCTAAAGAGTGGACACCTTTGGGGGTGAAGGCTTCTTCCTGATAAGGTGTGGTTTACAGCTACACAGATCTTCTTTACCAGTTGGGTGAGTCAACTTTTTCTGAATTTCTTAATTTTCTTAAATGTGGTTGTTAATATTTCTATTGATACTTTGCCTGATATCATAAAGAACTTATTAGAAACAGTTTGATTGCTTCTAAGGACTGATACTTTCTAACTCAAACTGTTCTGTGATTTTACGATATGATATAAATGTGTTTAAGCAAAGATGAAACTTTTATTTTTCCTTCTTAATGGGCAATATTTTACTATTCCCTAGACCAATAAAATGGGAGTCTAGAGGCAAGGATATATCCTGCTTTCATATACCATAGAGGTCTGTATGTGAGTTAAACTGTTTAATGTGATGGATAGATCAGGGAATGAGCCTTCTTCTGTATGTTGTTGAAGGCCTGGATATCACAGGTGATTAGTAGTGTGTAAGTTCAAAACACTTTGGAAAGGTATCAGGCTAATAGGCTTTTCTGAATTCTACTTCTGTCCTTTTCTTTCAGTGTTTCAGTAGTAGTTGATCACCTGATGCTGTCTTTTGTGTCACTGAGTTATCTTGTCTTTTTTTGAGATATGACCCTATTGTATTGCTCATGAGCTGTTATAAAATGGTCAAGAGAGAAAGTAAAAGCAGCTGTAGAGTGCTTTAGAAACACTACAAGGAGACTGCTGCTTCTTTTACCCCTTGTGTTACTTGTGATGCTTTGCTTAAAACTTAAGGTGCTGTAGCAGAAGGAAACCCTCCCTACAGAGTAGTATGAATACATAAGCTAAGCCTAGTGACAGAGGATATTATGAGTTAATTTCAGGGACTAGAGAGTTGTGGGCATGGTGGAGCAGCAGGAAGGCTCCCAGCATCTGTGGTTGTACTAGTGTGGGCTCTCACATCCCTTGCGTGCACTCCTACTGTGAATGATGTGATTACAGAATATTAGGGTTGGAAAAGACCTCAAAGATCATCCAGTCTAACTCCAGCCCATCCCCATGCTAACTAACCATGTTTGTCAGTGCCACATCCGCACAATTCATGAACACCTCCAGGGTTGGTGACCCCACCACCTCCCTGGGCAGCCTGTGCTACTGCCTCGCTGTTCTTTCTGAGGCACCACTGCTGTTGGAGGTGATCCTGCTAGAACTATGGGTGAGCCTCTGCGAAGGCTATGAGTCTGAGGTCTGGTTGCAAGGGATAAGAGCCTTCTCAGGGAGGGAGAGGTATCTAAGGAAAGAACTGGAGGATGCTGTGGCACTGACACTGCCATCTGACAGATGCGATAGGAAAAAGAAGCTGTGACCGACTATCAATTTTCACTTTTTATTAATACTAAATGTAACTCTGAGTTTTAAACTGTGAGTTGATTAATTATATTCATTTCCTGTAACTTTCCTCAAAAATGTTATCCTTAGTTTGTCATCTTAAAATGTGCTGCTGCATGGAATTGTGAATTGGTTGAAGCAGCTGCATTTTAAAGCAGGTATGAGTCTTACACACATGTGCATAAAAACTGTCAGTCAGTGTGAGCTGATGCAATCTGTTTTACTTCAGCTGAGACCCTGGTCTCCAGCTATTAAATTGCCTCTGAAGACTTCAGGCCAACAGGTTTTCTCTTCAAGCGTTTCATTAAAATTCACCTCTTTGGGTTCCTGCAAGCTCTGCTCTCCCCTAGGGATACGTTCACTGTGAATGACACCACTATGTTACTGTTAAGTGGAATATAAACAAGATGGAGACTCATCCTGCCAGACAAGGGCACTTCAGGCAGCCCTTGCTCAATGCACTGGTCAAGTCCTCCAGCTGCCCATCAATTCCCCAGCCTATAAAGCTCCTTTTGTGGAAATATTATTCTGGATAAAAAGCTTTCAGGGCTTGAGATTTTCTTCTACTTCTTTGTTAAGTAAGAAGCTTTATTTCTGCTCTGATAACTAAAATTATATGTGCTATTCCACATGCAGGCTTGTTGCTGTTTCTCTATTTCCAGTGAACAGTTAGACTTGTGATTAACACATAACCATAGAGCCTTTAAGGTTGGAAAAGATGTTTAAGGTCATCTCATCCATCCCCCCCATGCCCACTGACCTTGTCCCTCAGTACCACATTCATACAGTTCTTGAACACCTCTGCAGATGGTGACCTCACCAAATCCCTGGGTACTGTGCCTCACCATTCTTTCTGAAGATAAGTTCATATTGAACCTCCCAAGCACAACTTCAGGCTGTTCTCTCTCATCTTATCAAAAGAGAGTTGCTGTGGATGTGTTCTTGCAGCAGAGCAAAGCCTGCCTGCTACATTTATGATAGAATAGGGTCTAGAGCATGTTGGGTTGTAGGAAATCTGAAAATGTGAGCAAACCCAGATACGCTTGTTACTAACTTCTCAGAAGGTCCTGAGAAAGTCATCAAGTCTGCATCTTTTCCTCCCCTCTGTGTATATAGAGGCTGCACACTATCCCTAATGAGGGAATGGTATGGGCTAATTAATAAATATTTGTAAAGTGCTTTGAAGATGAAGCCTGCTACATCTTATAATTATCTGATACAAGTCATCTCAGGAGAGTGCTCCAGATGGCTGGTGCTCCATCCATCAGCCCTGCTGCTGAGGTTAGTATGGGCAGTGATCTTCAGCTCCTTCAGTGCAGCAGATGGGGAGCCCTCAGGGGACACACATGACATTTTCTTTGAATTGAGATTTTACTTTTTTAAAAGAAAATCACTTTTTAATCTCAGCAAAACTGCCTGAAGTCTGCCTGTTTCCCTTTGATTTGCACTGGCTTGCTTTTCTTTTATTTGCTGTTGGGCTGAAAGGAGCACAGGGGAGCTGTAAGGAAAGCTACAGTGTCTCCTCAGCCCTGCTTCTCCCACTATGGAGGACTTATGGAGAGCTGATCTCCTCAGCTGTTTTGTTGCGAGAAGCTGGAAGGGATTTCTGGGTACTTCACATGATTTTTCTAATTCTAACAGCATCTGTGGTGTGGCATTTAAAATGGAAGAAAAATGTGCTGATGCAGAATGTATCATGTACAATACAACAATGAGCTGCCCTGAGCACATGGAACCGCACTCACTTTCCTTCTGGCTTCTGTATTATTTCTTCTGCCATACTGAGGCCTCTCACTGCAACTGCTACAGCTCTTACTGCTTTTTTTTTTTTGCTTTAACTTTGAAACCTGTCTCTTAGTGAGCTATCTATAGTGCCCAGAAGGAAAGGAATCGGATTGCACAGAATCTGAGAGATTGCATTGTGTGATCAATGTGTTTTGTAAGAAAGGCATTCAGGTAATACAGGGAGAAAAGTTGGGAAAGGGTTCAAAAAAGAAAAAGCCTAGGGGATGATTAAAGAAGACAGCCACTTTGGGAGCTTAATCTGTTCAGTTTTTCCAGAAGGAAGGCTAAAGTGAGGCTTGAGCAGTCTGATCGTGGCAGTCATTTAATTTTCAATCTCTGCAGTACAGATATCTGAACAAGTGTCTATCTTGGGGCTGAGATGAACCACACTGGAGATGGGCCTATTTCTCATTCTGACAGTACAGGTGGCTCTCAAGCAGATACTGTGGTCTGGTCTGCGTTCAGTCAATTGGGCAGCCCATGAGACAAAGAGTGCCGAGGACTGGAAGTTAAAATTGGTTTGGTTTATACTGGGAATATTAAATCAGTTTATTACAACTGAATAATTTAAAAATAGGAGTGATATAGAAGGAATATGAGCCAAAATTCAACATTGTAATTTGGAAAGTCTAGGTGAGATTTTTTTTAATCTTTTGGTGCTGAGTCTATTCACAGAACAGTGAATCTGATGAAGTCCTCTGTTTAGTGGTGAATCAGAGGTCAGCTCGTATTATTTGGATGGGCCTTTCAGGCTGGATGAATACTTGTGTTGTCATCATGTGAAAAGACTCCTAACTATAGGGTGAAACTCCACACCAGAATTCGTGTGGCTTCCCAACAAAACTGTGTCAACAAACTTCAAATGCTGGTAAGAAATGATGTGGCCGTTTATATTTGCCTGGAGAGGCTGTGGATGCTCCATTGCTGCTGGTGTTGAAGACCAGGTTGGATGGGGCCCTGGGTAGCCTTGTTACTAGACTACTAGGTCTAGAGGTTGGTGGCCCTGCTTGTGGCAGGGGGTTGGAACTTGATGATCCTTGGGATCCCTTCCAACCCAAGCCGTTCTATGGTTGTACATGTTTGCTGCAGAGATTGGACTGAGAAGCTGTCTTTGGCATGTCAGGTGCTGACATGGATTGGATTCTCATTCTTTCTAGGAGATGCACCCTCTCCAGGATGCTCAGGGAGTGTGCTGGGTTTTATTGTCCTGTGCTTTCCTCTTGTGTGGCCACATGCACTCGCATAGGCTCACACAGGATCTGACCCTGGGAAATGCACAATAATAGCTAAAATCATCAGAACAAGAAATCCATCTCATGCATGAGGACAGAGGTGACTAGCGAGAGCAAAAGTCAGGCCTGAGGAAAGTGTCACTCTGGGTACAAAACAAGAAGAGAGCGGGGTCCAGACACTGGAAGTCACTGAAGAATAATGGGGCAGCAGCAGTATCCCTTTTCCCTCCTGCATCAAAAAAGAGATTGGCTTCCCTTTCAAGTAGACAGCTTGCACCTTGTCTCTTCTCCTGTTGCTGGTTAAGGGGCTCAGCAATCCCTTTTCTTTTCCCCCCACGTTATTCTTTGCATTTAGGTAGGACTTCAAGTAAACAAGCACAACTACCTCATTATCCTCTGGTAGGTCTCATTATACCTCCCCTCTGTGTAGCCTGCAGAAAGGTCAGTGTGCCTTATCTACAGGATCTGCCACCTCTCATACTGACCTGTAGTCTCATTATTTTCTTGTGCTTGGGCTTGACCTGCTGTTTATTGCCTTGGATAGCTTGGAAAAATTTCCATTCTCCTCTACACTATTGTATTATTTATTACATACCGTGTGTATAGATATGTATGTAAATTTATATTCCTCTATGTGTATCCACACAATCCTTTTTGTTCATGCACTTGTGTAATTTATCTCATCCTGAAGAGGTACCAAAAA